GACAATGTTCACATACTTATCAAATAACTTTGATGGCATTCTAATATTTTTGTGTTAAAAATTTAATATCCTTATAACTAGCATCACAGTTTATATTATGAAGCGAGGAAAAACAAACCTCATTTGATGGAACTTTTTTGACAACAGTTGATAAAGCGACAAAAAAAGTTTTAAGAAGATATAACTTCTGTTGTTCATTTGCAAGTGATAATGTTCTTGAAAACATTTGACGTCCTTTATTGATTAACAACACAGCTTGCAGGCGCCCGTTCAAACATAGAGTCTCGATTATAGTCTTCATACGACTTTCAATACCACTCCTCAGTTTCTCCCTGTAAGAATGCAGAATCAATAAAGTAACGAGATTCATTATAGTTTCAGTTTCGGTTTCACCATTTATCAAATAAAAACTAAAAAACGAAGATTGTTATTTATGTTTTCTAAAGGCAAGAATTAAATGCAATAAGAACATATCTTAGCTTATTATACTGAAGAAAAAATGTACATAAATATGGTAAAGTTTTACTGAATTTCATCGGGAAGTGAAGGAGCACACAATACTCGATGTCTATCGTCACATTCAATAATTAATAATGCAACATTTTCCAGCTGCAAAAGAAGTGCTCGCAATTTTTTCTGTGATGTACTACTCTTCAGAGAAAGTTTATCGTCATCATCCGGTGAGTCGCTTGACAGATCGATAAGCTGAAATCATGAAAATGTTACTGATTATAATTTTCAGAATTATGAAGGTTATATTCCGTTAAAACAATGAATAAATGTAATAAAAAGAACTCCTTTATACAAGCAAGCATCTAGATCACTTGGTAAATATTTGAAAATAAATAGTTCCAAGAACCTTTTCTGAAAGGATCGCAGCGCATATTCCTTCGCTCACTTAACTAATTAATTAACGGACACAATTCAAAAGTGGGAGTAATGATATGCAGTTTACATGATGTGTATATATTAATACAAGCATCCGATATCTGCAGAAATATATCACTGTGAATGACAAAATTCAAAGATTTTGTCGGCAGTAGTAAGCCTAAGGTGTAGCAAATGGAGTCTGTGCACCAAAGAAGCAGGATTGCTAGCAATAAATTTCAAGAAAAAAAGACTAACCTGTCTTGGATAATTAACGGTAGAAAGTGTTGGCTTTCCCAAACTACCAGCAAATGTCGGTGGAACATAATGGCAATGATGCAGGTTGGTAGCATCCCATACATAACCACGCTCTTCGTCCTCCACTTTCAACCCTCGAGAGTGCCTCTCGAGCGCCATTTTTTGTTGTTTCCATGTCTATAGTTGAATAGACAAAAAAATAATAGAAGTAAAAAAAGATAATTGGAACTCCGTTATACAGATAGAATACTTAATGCAAGTGAACGAAATGTCAATAAATGGAACAGCAATGACATATGCATGCCTATGAATATCAAACTGCTATAATTCTACGATGGAAAAATTGACAAAACTACTTGTTACAATCTATAAATAATAGATAGACCATGAGACAATAATTCTCCCCCAGTTAGCTGGGACATACGATAAGAATCTGAATGTGATCTTTCTGGTCTGAAATTTACGACTGGAAAAAACAAACCGTATAATAAAAATCATCTTCGTATGGATTACCGCATCCCTGGCACTGCAGCTGTTGAATTTTAATGAGCCAACTACGCTCTTTTTTTGAAACAAAACCACCAAAAGGAGATAATGCAAAATCAGATATTGTTTTGTTAGATACTAGACCGGTAAGCTTGCTCGAACGATCCCGATTGTAACTTATGTTCTGATGGGGCACCTGAGGAATATAGGATTGCATCTGAGATTGTGGAGGACAAGGCAAAAATGAAGGTAGTGCTGATCGACCTGATCTAAAAGGAACATTTCTTTGTGAAAAATAAAATGATCATCAAAACATTTGTACTTAATGTGCATCGATATCTTAATAAATTAAAATAAACCAGTGCAAAACAGATAATACTGAGTTTTGCAACTGAAAGAAAAAACAAACAAACATTGGATGAGAAGATTGCTGCGCGAAAGGGAACGGTGGAAGCATTGGATGTGAAGGCATTCGCATAACAGGTGGTGGTCCTAGTGAAAGAATCGCTGCTCGCATCTGTGGTGTTATAGGTGGAAAACCAGGTGGCAATTCTGGCAGCTGACCAAGCAAGTAAGCTAAAAAAGTCACTAAGCATTAAAATTTAAGATTTCGAAAGTAAAAAAAAAGTGGTTAACGGATAAACAAAAACTTAGATTCAACCACAGGTTTCGATTCCCATTATTATTGCACATCAACACAAATTTTAATATTTTTTGAGTTTGTGCTCCTAAAATTCACTGTTCTGAAAGAATCCACTGTTAAATAAGATATTTCTTATGCATTACTTCGTAACATATTGAAATACACTTCAA